GTTGGCTATCGATGTAAACAATTCAATTATTTATCTTGTAGTTGGAATATTTCTCCTTCCGTTTTAAGCGCAGGAAGAGGAATTATTTTGTAACGCAAAGGCGTTCTTGCATACAACTTGTTATCTTACAATTTAATTTATTGTTTATCGTGTTGTTACAATTGACGAGTCGGGCTACAATAATACCTTATTCATATATAATTAGGAAAAGAATATTGCGTAAATTATACTGTGAACGTTCTGTCTGTTAAAAAACTCTAAAAATTAAATTAGTGTTAGTAATCGGAATAATGATGAATATTTGGTCCATTCTAAGAAAATTCTATGATGCCGAGGATTATCCGCTTGCGAGTCTTACCAATCTCAGTTTCTCTATAATGTTCAGTTTTGACATACTAAATAAACCTTATCGAAGTAAAAAGCCCGATATTCATGCGTACACTACTACCGAAAGTGAAGTTTATCCTTGCTAGTATTGTTCTTAGCGAGGTGCAGTTCAATAATATATTTTGATAAACATTGTACCTATATGACCATTAATTCTTATACTGCATGAGGGTATAAACTGACGACGTTTCGCAAATAATTATTTTATACACAGTTGCAATTAAAGTTGCTCATATTAATATTTGTGATTATAAAACAAATTGCTTCACTAGAAGAACGAACAGAACTTAAACTGTCAACCTAACAACGATGGCGCGTGCATTAATCACTTATAAAGAGCCTGGCGTAAATTGTCTGTCGTGTTACCGGATAATAATTTTTTTGCAGATTAACTAACCCGTTTCGGGATCGTAGAATATGAGTAATAGTAAAATAATGAGTCTTTTATCCCACGCGTAAATAAGCCGTTTCATTATTAAGCAGTCTCACAAATAGTATGACAGTCCATATACGGAAATTTCATTGCCAATGGTTAAAGCATACACTCATAATGACTTACCTATACATAATCCAAATAACATGATGAAAAAATAGAACAAACTTTTTATCTTGTCATAAAAAAGTGGCATTATTAGTTAATAATGTATAAACACAGACTTTACGAGTATAGCTTGCTTTGTTCAAAAGTCTTGGCGATTGTTTAACCATACTATAAATGATTGGCAGAGATTTCACAGTGCAGTGTTGTTATTGTTATTATTATCATTATTATAAACCTGTTCAACTAATCAGTGCTCAAAGAGGACAACGTGCTGCCCACGATATTTAATAAATATGCTCGAAAAAAAATTCAGTACATCTTGATTGTTTGAGCAGCTTTATTCCGAATTTTATCTTATTCAGTAATAAACAGTAAAAAAAAAGAGAGAGAGAGAGAGAATAGCGAAAGAATATACTTTCTTTGTACAGGTTTTCAAAAACGTTCCGATTATTGTAAATTGTAAATTAATTTACTTAGTATTAGCATTTTTAAATCTGTCGTGTCTAAAAAATGTGAGTGATTGAGGTCACGTTAGTTTAAATTATTAAGTAATTATTAATAACACACGTTAATCAATATACCGTGTACTGCCGTGAATAAACACCTCTTTGATTAGCTAGATTAACCGCGTGACATACCCCCCCCCCCCCCCCACTACGTAAATATACAAAATCAAAAAGTTTTTATTTCACTCTGGTTACCCCTTAGCGTTGTTTTATACTTTACGTAATAATTTGCTGATCGTTTTAATAATGCCGATAGAGTTGGCAATCCTGTCGTGAATAAGCACCCCTCACTATGTTAAGTGTGGGTGCTTATTCACGGATACGTAGAACCAAGAAAATGCCGATTCTTCATATATGCATTCGCTCCAACTTGAATGCTTACGCGCTAAACCAGATTACAAAATAATTAACTATTCTAGTTAGCAGAAAGTAAAAGTCCATTGGCATTCTACTCGGCGCATTTGTGCTAATATTCAAGGAACAAATAATTGCTTACAGATTACTAGTTAATTAGTTTGTGTTGTCTATGCTAAAAACTTGTCTTTTTTAGTTGGTTTTCTTGTTCATGAATTTGGCTTACAGGCTAAATAATTCATATATGCTGAGTCAAACAAATTGTTTAGAATCGCGTAAAAACGTATCATAAGTATGCTGCCAATGCGATGTGTAATGTAATGTTGTAAAAAATTAAATTGTTGATTTCTGAAATATGCTTTCTAACTCATCCAATTGGTTGGTTCATCCACGTTTGAATTAAGCTGGTTTTTTTATGTAGATTTGGAGGTTACAATTTTAAGCATAATCTTGTTTTGCGTGTTCCCAACGTATGGACTATATTATTTTCTCTTCTTTTTTATTGACCAGTCTCGATTTGCGTCTTTGGTAATCGGTAAGCGTTGGACTTTAGTCAAGTCTCCCTAAATGCATGACTTGGGACTGAAATTTGAGAGCGTGCATTTAGATAGTTTGTATCAGTAATTACGTAATGTTAATAAACAATACTGTTGTATGGTACTCGCATTGTTATTGCGTAAAATAACGACATTTGTTTATTCATATTGGCTTTTCTCTCTCACTTGAATTTTTTTTTTTTTGGTAAATTCATTAACTCTGTTTTTGTTTGTTTTTTTAATTCAGTTAACATTTTTTGTCGAGTTTTCCCATTATTGCAAACAGACAAATAATGCTCATATTTTTGAGAAACTTTTTTTGAAGGCAAGATAAAGTAAGCGTTTATTGAAAGACGAGGGTTTAATACGATTATCAGTTAAAAGTTGTTTCTGTGATGACTAAGCGAATGTACAGTACATAATTAAGAAAATAGAAATGCAACAAAAGTGAACATTCTATAATGAGGGGCCGATTATGATGTGAACAGTGTGTCTGATGACATTTTGAAAGTAATAACGGTGCTCATTCATAACTTATGGACTTGTTAATCTTTAATTTTCACTTTATCATACCGGGAATGTGATGAATATTTTGTATATAATTTATGTCGTTATCGAATCACGGAAATTATATATTGATAGGATTATTTATTCCGAAGATTTAATGTAAAACAAAAAAGAGTATGGAGGTGAGAATATCATAATTATCGGTATAGATAGAAACGTCAGATATAATATAGAAGTTTATCTCATTCAATATAACCCCATCAATGATACGCCGGTCGTTTCCGAACCGAAGCACTGATAGCCCGTGGACGCGTAATAGCTGACTGGAAAACGATATTACATACAGTATGGGGTTAGCTTCTGTTCATGAACAAAATTTAGCTCATCGCGCACTAGGAGACGGAACCAATCAGGAACTTGTATCCGCCAATTTTAATATTTTGCATATTAATATTTTATATTTACATGAGATAATAATAACGTCACTCATATGAATCACAATCAATCACTGGAGTCGCGTAAAAGATTTTCTGTCTGATAATAATGCTATTTTGGGTACGCAATAACCTCAAAGGTCTAAAACCGGAGAGCTTTTACAGAAAATTAGGCTATTCACATACTTCACGGAAACAAGCTGAAGAAAAACTACGAGAGTTACTTACAACAATCAAGAATGAGAATAATGTCAAACGTCGGGAAAAGGCAATTAGCTTTTTAAATGAATTTAAAGTAAGTAGAAATTACAAATAGCTGTCGACGATGTATAATTTCTTGATTAATCAATTGTTTGTTTTATAGTCGTGGACGAGTTCAATTCCTCAGGGAGGAACTATTAGATGAAGAATAGGTGCAAGAACCTGAAAACCAAGCTATTTATTCTAGACTGAATGCTAAGCTGTAGTGACGTTTCTTATTAGTTAATTATGCGCGCTTCCTAATCCCTATTTATATTCGTAACGTAATCCAATGAATTGCCCGAGCCACTGCTGTCACTGGCGGTATTTTAGTCAACCATTAGTTGGTGACTGTGAGATGTACTGATTGGATGTGGTGCAAGACAGTGATGAGGATGCAGACATAGATGTTTCTAGAACCAAAGGGCGAAATCAATGGATGCATTGAGAACGGAATATAAGGAAATGTATGAGAATATGGATGAAGAGCTGAAATGGCAACTCACGTCTGGACGATATGTGGAAGATGTTATTTATGAATTTGGATGTTATCTAAAAACATCAAAGATGATCCAGAACTTGATGAAGATGTAATATCTTGCCTTAGTGCGCTTAATAAGGTGCCGTCTGTCGCTTGAAAAATGCACCTTATTGTTATTGTCCCAATTAACTGACTTTATCTTTCTCACAGAAAAACATGTGTGATATTCGTGAGGTAGTGACGCAGTTTTTGATGCACCAAGATGCTGATTATACCATTCAAAGGGATTTTTCAACTGGTATAATAACTCATGTCATGCCATTCATAATTTGTACGTATTGTTAATGCATGAGAATATTACACATTCGCATTGCCACTGATAACTGAGCTTAATTTGTCTGGTAGGATCCACCTTTATTATTATTAAAGGCAACCAAATGCACTCAGCATCGAAGACTGGTATAACATCAACATTTGGGGCCCTATGACTTTTGGGACATAACAGTATAAGTAGTGGATGTTGTCAGGTATAGCTGTTGTGTCTGAGTTCAGGACTTGTCTCAGTTCAGAACCCAGTCACTCAGTCCAGAACTCAGTTGTCTCAGTCCAGA